GTAATGATCAACCCACAAAACTATGCTTTTTTTACTCTCTGTTTAGGCGAATTCTGTATCAAAATGCCTTCAGCAGCAACTTTTAGCGCTGAATAACATATTTCATTTTTTTTTATTGAAAATAAAATTATAGAAAAATGTTTTAAGGATGTGATAAAGACTCTCCGATATAATATTCTAGGAGGATTTGACAACTTTTAAAATTTGACTCTTGTGAGTAAAACAAATACAGGGGAAATCGGCCCTGCCTCTTCCGGTCTCCAGAGTAGAAAAGGGTTATTACAGAAACACGTGTTGCGCGCACAGAAACCAGTATAATACGTTTGTTTTGAAATTTTACTACAGATATTTCATGGGTTCTGTTAGTATATTTTTTAATTTATTTACAATTCAAGGGTAAAGGTTATTTCTGGCGAACGAAATTAATTCCGGTGGAATAAAAAAACATTTCAAGATTATAGAGACAAAATGTATTTCGAAGGAACAAATAATGTGCGTATTTTTCATGTCCTTTGTAGTGATCCATAGTCCCATATTCTCTTTTATACCAGATAATAAAATTATCAATTATGCTGAATGTAAATTTTTTAAAGGTTTCATTGAAATAAAAAAAAAATGAATACGACAGAAAACTTATCATTGTTTCCAGAAATTGTGTAGACTATAGATTAAAGGAAGGCCCACATAAATGGAGATCTTGAAGAGATAATTATGGTAATTTCCTTACAGATGCATGAACCAGTATTGAACATCGCAGGTTTCTTTGGTTGGCAAATGCATATTATCGGCTAAGTTTCAATTAAACTTCGATTTAATCTGTTAAAAAATTTCAAATCATTAGACACAAAACTAGTTATCTTGTTACACAAAGACGGTGTGATATTAAAGAAATCGCATTCTAAAACGGATTAATTTCTCAAGTCTCAAGCTTGAAAAACTTCTGTACTCTGAAATCAATTTTTACTTTTCCTGTCTCCGAAACATGTCGCTTTCTTAATGAAGCGTCATTTTGCTTTCGATTTACGATCACTTGTTTACAACAAGAAACTTCAGAGGTAATTAAAAACAATCCATTTCCTTTGCTGTTTTTATATGTCATAATCTGATTAGATAGCAATTCCTGTGTCTACCTTTTCGTCTTAATTTAATCAACTGTTAAATAATAGACTTGAATTTGATCATCTGTGGATACAAGACGAAGAAAATCATTGAATCTTAAATTGTAATTTATAGTTATATTTATTCTCAATATGTCTCACAAAAACCCATCGGACAGGCTATATTCCTTTGGAATTGCTCTATGGACTCCTATATACAATCATTTATAAAGCGTAGCATATGATTATTATAAAGATCGCTTCGGACGCACGAAAATTATAAAGTATTATTTGCATTTATCTGCTTAATAAAATTATTAAACAGAAAAAGAAAAAAACATTAATATAATATATGCCCTTAGAACTTGTATGAATGTCAAATCTTAAACAAAATAACGCTGTTTTATTGTTTTGTATTTCAGGTCGCATAAGAGTTTTATAGATATTTTCATCACTAAGTTGTGCGTTTAGTTGGTTGCCGACAATCGCTAAAACAACACATTATATTTGGTTAGAAATTAAAAAAAAAATGCTTTTTTTCTCTCTTATTAGCGATACATATATGTAAAATAATACTGTGTAAAAAATCGATCATACAAAATACGGAGACAAATATTTGGATAATATAAAATATTTGACAAGAAGAGTATTTTGTTTATATTGATAGCGCCTGCTATCAATATAAACAAAATACTCTTCTTGCCTGCTATCAATATAAACAAAATACTCTTCTTGTCAAATATTTTATAAAAAAAATTTCAAACTTATTTGCATCAGAGGTTGAAATAGGAAAGCTATAAGGACGCAGCAAAATGAGATGTGATTTCCGTGTACTTCCCATTAAAAAGTCCCTCCGAGTCCCATACACTCCATAATTGATTCTTCGACGTTTGCATATTTTTTTTAATTAATTAACTCACAGTTGAGAAAATGATTTTTTTTTTTCAATAGATATATAAATCTTTCTTACGTTAAGGAAAATTAATATCTTAAACAGTTTGGTTTTGTTTGATTACATAGCTACTTTATGTTTGGCTTTTCCACACTTTTCGAGAAGTGTTTCTGTTAAAGAGTCTATAAAAGAGATTGCATTCTGTATGGGTTGTTTTCAAGTCGTAAGTAGCAAAAACAATGAGTAGTTTTTAAGTTTTACCATCCGATAAAAGTTACTACTACATGTTTTTCGCAAACCATAACAGCAAATTAAATGGAATTCTGTTTTGAAAATGGAAAAGAGAATTTCATTTTATTTATTAAAAGGTAACATTCGGCATGCAGTTTTTGGGTGGGATATACATGAAATAAACCATTAGATAATACACAAAAAAAAACTGGATCAATTCATAAAGATTTTTTAAAACGAGTTCAATTCCAAGTTTTTTTTTTCAGAAATCGTGATTGGCTGGGAGGTAGGTCCGTTTACAAACATAACAGAGAATACTTTTTTTTTTACCGAAAAACAGAGATTTTAACAGATTTATATTAATTATAACGAAATAAATATAAGAAGATGTGGTATGATTGCCAATGAAAAAACTCTCCACAAGATACTAAATGACGTAGAAGTTATCAACCATAGGTCACCCTACGACCTTCAATAATGAGCAAAACCCATACCCCAGTCAAAATTTTCCAAACTTCATCCCAGTCTATCCACCTTACCGAACCTGTCTTTCGGATTTATTGTTTTTTTTTTAATATGCTCGTACTTAATATGCATGACATATTTGCCACTGGACGTGAAGCAAACAAAATTCAATATCAGATATATTCCAATATTGACAAGTTGAAACTCGTTTGTTACATTTTGACAACTATCACTTAAAACATAAAAATATTAAATCAAATGTAAAATCCGATGTAATCCTAATCTCGTTAATCCGACATATAGAAACATGAACAGCAGTTAATGACTCGGATCGATGAATTAAATAAATATATCAATACTGTTAATTAATTTTTACAGTAAACGGAAACTTTTTATGTATAAGATATAGTCAAATCACATCATGATAATCTTACGAGATAAACCGATCGACGAAGGCGAAAAGGCCAACCTTAAAGAACTTTTTCCTGCGGTAGTCGAATTCTCAGCTGATAAATGCCTAAGATAAACTTCTGATATAGGGTATTCGATACATTTACATTTGATATACTCAAAACAAATCAGAAGCTGGTAGCTGTCAATTATATATATAATATTGATCTTTCTTTCAGCCTTTTTCTTCTCTTTCTGGTGACTTTTGTCTTTTATAAAAGAATCATCTATTACATATATAAAACTGGTTTTTTTTCAAAAAAGGAGACAAAAGTACTGCCGCAAATTACCGTCCAGTATCTTTAACTGGCATTTGCTCAAAAGTAATGGAGCACATACTTCACTCCAAGATAATGTATCATCTAGAATAGCACTCCAAATTAACACCAGCCTAACACGAATTCCGCAGCAAATGCTTGTGAGCCACAGCTTATTACCAGAATACACGACCTCACAAGCGGACTATCAAATGGCCAACAAATCGACGCAATACTACTTGATTTTGCGAAGGCGTTTGATAAGGTGCCACAACAGCGACTACCCCAAAAGCTTAAATACTACGGTGTTTGTGAGTACACTCTCAAATGGGTTGAGAGCTTCCTTAACAATCGGAAACAACATGTGCTAGTTGAGAGTACATCATCAGACGAAGCAGAGGTAGTTTCAGGAGTGCCACAGGATACAGTCATGGGACCCTGCTCTTTCTAGTCTTTATAAACGACCTCCCGGAATCTATCAAATCCAGTGTAAAATTGTTTGCTGATGATTGCTTGATTTATCGGCCTACTAGTATTAGATCTATCAGCGACTCCATCCAACTGCAAGAAGATTTAACTCAACTGGAGAAATGGGAAAAAGATTGGCAGATGGCATTCCATCCACAGAAATGTACCGCCATACACATCTGCAAGAAACGCAACCTGATCAAATTTGACTACTATCTTCATGGTCATACTCTTGAAAGTGTCCTAGGTGGGAAGTACCTTGGCGTCTACATCAGCAAGGATCTGTCGTGGCGAGAGCACATCAAGCAGATGACAGCAAAAGCCGGGCACCCGATCAGTTGGATTCCTGCGTAGGAACCTCAGAAATTGTCATAAGGAGGTAAAGAGTTAGGCTTACACAACATTAGTGAGGCCTGTCCTCGAGTATGTCAGCCCTATCTTGGATCCCTACCAGCAACAGCATATCCAGCAACTAGAAAATGTACAACGCCAGGCTGTGCGATTTATCACAGGGAATTACTACACAAGGGACCCTGGCTGCATGTGTCACAAACATGATTCAACAACTAGGTTGGGAACCACAAGAACACAGGAGAACCAGGAACAGAGTAGTAATGTTCTACAAAATCGCAAACAGTGATGTAGAAGTTCATGTCCACCTGCTCCAATTCCACAACACCAGGACGTACCCGTGGCTCAGTTGCACACAGCATCAGACAGGATACGAACCAAACTTGACTGTTTCAAATATTCATTTATACCTGCCACCATCATATTTTGCAATAACATACATCCAGCTGTTCGTCATGCTGGAGTACCTACACTCAAAATGAGTCCACTCCTAGACGGGAAGATAGATAAATAGATAAATTCAACCATCCATCATCTGAAATATAGGAATTACAAAAGTTTCCCAAATGTCTTAGTAATGTGGTAACGCACTGCAGATTTATGGAAAATGTTCATGACTATTCACCACTTCGAGGCATCAAATGCTTTGGATTTTTATCTTTACACAGAAGTGGTCTCTTATAAAAAAGGTAAAGACAAACTGTTTAAACTTCGGTGTATTCTTGATCCGGAAATTTTATGCCCGGAACGATTTTGATATTTTTAAAACATTTAAATGATATCGATTTATTATTGTTTACATGGGAAACGAGTTTTGATACGTGTTCTTTACTTATTTGATCGGACAAATCTACAGGATCCTACACTGCAGATTATTTAAAATGAATGTCTTAAAAGCTCTTTTATTGTTTTCTTGTATTTATTCAACAATATCAGGGAGTAAGAAAGAAGAGGAATTACCAAAAGGTAAGTAAAGTTCTGATAATGTCTGGTTTGATCATTGATGTTCGATAATTGTGTTTATAAATAAAAACAGTTCTGATATGATGACATTGTTGACATTGTACCTTATTTTTGTAATTTTGATGGTTTGACCGATTAAAGCATTTAACCGATTTTACTAAGACATGTTCTCGACACATACATGTATGTATTCTAATAGGATATTTAATTTCTGTATTTTAAAATTTTTTAATGCATTTTTCTTTATCTTTGAAAATAACGCTTATTCTGTAAACCTCCAATGAAAAACAAATACTATAATGTTTTTCTGTAATTATATGATTTCTTTATTTTGTACATCATTCATTTCTGTAATCAGTATTTTATCACCAAGCTAATACTTTTATTTTCTACAGTTATTCTTTATGCTTTTACAACCCATTAATCTCTATTCTTTATTTTTTTTTGCTCATTTTTCTCTAGTCATTATTTTTTTTTGGCCACCCCCGTTTTTCTACACATGTATAGATGCAACATAACCAGATATTCGTCAGTGGAAATAATAGACGTGAATAATTGATGTGTGTCTTTTTGCTTGTTGTGTCTCACTTTGTTATTTTTTCCTATGTTAATGTGTATTTCAGCGACAACCCTTTTGTACTGGATTTTGTAACAAATAAAATTATTAAGCAACATATATTTGGTATTTAATTTTTCATTCATTCATTTATGTTTTGGTTTTAATTTTAGATGTATTATGTGCTGGATGTGAAGCCGTTTCGAAAGGTGAGCTAAAGAGATGATGCACCGATTATTTATATGCGCGAGTTTGCATTGGGGACATGTTCTTTTTTTTAATTGATTGATTCTTAAAGTTTTGAGAAAAAAAAACAGTTTGTTTCTATTGAAAATAACGAAAAATGAAATCATTTTCCAACTTGATCTTGTTCTTGTTGCAAAATATGTTTTTGATTACACATGGAAAAAATTGTCCCGAGAAAAAATACCCGCACCTAAGGATTTGTATAGTGTCACAATACAAATCCTTGCCGCACCCCACCCGTCAAGATGAGTGGTCCATGCCTTACTGAGTCCATAAAAGGTTCCCGCAAGGCCAGTATTTCCCCATAATGACTATTGATCAAAAGTCCACATTGTCATTGATGTAATAACATTGTGTCGTTTTCAACTCTTTATTTAATGACGTGAGCCTTTTAACATTTTCTTCTTCTTTATATGGATCGATAAATTTAGGTAACAATAGTCGCAAACGTGAAACACCAATAATACTCTAGGGAATCTTGATGTCCACAACGATTGTTTTATTTTTTGACAAGAAACAAGCTTGGAAATAATTGATGCTCAAGTTACAACAACTGTGAAATGCGAGTAATTAGGCATGTCAAGTACAATATTTCTTGTACGTGTAAATAATCTCAAGTCTTAAAATAATTGATGTTAGGGGTAAAACATGAGCTGCATCGCTGTTGTTGAATACCATGTATATAAATAGAAAATAGTGACACATCTGGGACTAATGCATGAATTTATCTACTGCTCCCTGGACACATACATTTTTGAACACTTCGTAGAACATGAAGAAACTAGATTCATGATATAATTCCTTTGTTTTTGCTTTAGAGTATTTTTTATAATTCCATTATAAAAATGCTGCATACATTTTATTTAAATGCTTTAAACTGAATTGTAAATCATATACAATATGTAGGTGTGGTATGATTGCCGATTTAACAACTTGGTTATCCATTAAACCCAAAGGACAAAGCTGTGAACAATTACAGGTCACCGTATCGCCATCGACAGTGAACAAAACCATACCTTAAAGTAAGCTATAAAAGGCACCGGGATGACGACATGTGAAACAGTGAATGGCCTGATTTATACTACAATAAACTTAAAAATTATGGCAGACACCAATCAACGACAACTACAGGATCATGGCTGTCGCATAGGAACGTTTTTGAGGCCTTTGGTCCGTCTGACTCCGTCCTTGGCTACCCATGTAAACGGTCACCAAATATAACTTCAAATTTACGACTTATAATACAAGCAACAACTCTCCACAATGTATCTAAATGAAACTCTGTTCGACCTAAACCAACCAAAAAATGCAAAACAAAACGCAACAAAATGTACCTAATTGAAACCAGTTTTGGCCTGAAATAAAACAAAAATCTAACAAGGAATCAAGCAGCAATTTAATGCATCGCAACTTTCTGAAATAAAGTAAGATTAGTCCGAGATCAGCAAAACCTTGAGTCCATAAAACGGAATGAAGAAATTGAATTTTACGAAAATAGTTCGGTTACATATTTCAATATTAGTATAATTACTACATGCACTTATCAGTTGACCACGAATTTCGTTATCAAACATCGTAATGATTAAATTATTATGCCAAAGATTTCATGGGTTTCTTGTAATATATGATATATATATTACTAGATATTATGAATCGCTTTTGTCTGTCTTTGGCACATCCTTTGATGATTTGTTTCCATAAAGTCTATGCTGGTAAACTTTATGGATTATACACCAGCAGACGATTTTACACAAAGAACTGTATTAATGATGTATCCAACTGCAATTTGTCAACATTTAAATATAATCATGTCATTGTAGAACTTTCCAAACGATTATCCTACGATTCTAAACAGAATTTGGAGAAAAAAGTACCAACAGTTTTACGCACAGTATGTGATGAAGATAATTTCAAAGATACAGAATTCAGCCCATCCAAAGTTAGAGGCGCCTGTAAACAGCTTCTTAGTAAGTCAACACGTGTGTTATCACTTTGTATTTAATGTAATATAATGGAAAGCATCAATTAATTCATATAGTTTGCTGAAGTTTTCTCTTATTGCCATCGCCTTCTTTCTTTGGACATTACAATAGTTGACTCTTTTGCAATTAGTTAAAGTAAAACTTATGACAACATTGCTTCTGGTGGTTTCTAATTCCTATGGGAACATGTTATTTTGTATACTTTTTCATTGTAGTGTTTTATTAATTTGAATTGATTTCATGTCAATAGAAAAAGGTTTTCCCTTCTGTTCCTCAATCGTATTTGTTATTTATCAAATCAGGTAGAATACGAGACAACAAAAGAAACGAAAATGGTGTCCTTATTGATTACGCTAAATACTACATTTTGTCTCTACTTTGTAATTTTTTACAATTTTCCGTGTTTAATTCAGTTGTTCTTTATGCAAAAATTAAATATGTAACATGTTATATTCACGCCGTAAAGTCTGGTGCATGATACAGATAAGAAACAATTATATAATTCAAATTATTTAGATATTTGAGTTGGTGTTTGTTACTTTTAAGGAGGCTATATGAATTCCATTTTCAGAAAAGCAGAAATCAGATATAACAACAGGCTTAGTGGAGCATTACAGTAAGAGGAAACAGTCAGGGTCTTACTTAGATCTGTTACAGAAACTCTGTACGGATGTTACTGGTGTTTGTGTACGTGACACGGAGACGGGAAAACCAGCGGTAGGTTCAATTTACCCTTATGTGACGTTTTCATGTTACTGTCAGAAATATGGCTTACTTTAGTCTCTCTTTAAAAAAGAAAATTTAAGATTTAAAAAAGAAACAGAAAAAAGCTTTTGTAGGTGCGAGAAAGAAATACGGATTTCAATGCGTTGGACATTTATTTCAGAATAATATTTCATCAGGTACGCTGGAAAGTAAAGTTTTCGAAACCACATGACATTTTCTATATACAAAACATGACCAAGTTTCTTTGTTTGAGACAAATAAGTCTTTGATGGAGAGGAAAAGAAAAACTTATTCCTTCAAGCTTTGAAAAAAATGTTGTTTCTATTTAAAAATGAATGCACTAGTTACTCTTGCTGTGTACACAGGATATGCTGAAATTATTTTAAGGGTATAATTATGTTCTTATTTATATTTCCAGGAGGGTAGAGTTATTTTTAATGACGAAAAACAGGAGTTTGAAGTTATTATGGGCGATAATGTACGAATGCCACAGCCTGTCATCAAGGAAAAGGATCCAAAAAATTCACATGAAAATATTGTGGTTGATGGAATACACTCAGTTCCAGTTAAACCACTAAAACCTACTTTGGCAAGTCACGATGAACTTTAAGAGATGACAGTGATGAATTTAAAACATTTCAGAGTTGTAATTTTATTTCAAACAAAGGCATTTAATCAAACAGATGAACGATGGAGTGCAATAATATTGGTTGCTATTCTAACTAAAGAAAATAATGAAATCACTTTAACAACGGATAGGAATGGGTTTCTGAAGTGTTAGATAAACTTTCTTTTTTTTTTGTCCCTTATGAAATTCCAGGGTAAATATTTACGAAAAATAATGTTCTTATACTGACAAATTCTGCTTTCTCTTGGGTTTTAAATTAAAATATGTGCATATCAATTTCTTATAACACTATTGGACATGGACATGTACTGAAATATATCATTTATTTTATTGACCATGAAAATTCTTTTGAATGATAATATGATACAGTTACATCCATTTCGACTTTAACCCTTATTAAGCAGTTGATTTTTTAATATTTCTACATACCATTGAAATTTATTAATTCACTATGCAATTTTATGTGATTATACCTTAATTGTGATACATTGTATTTACATTAATGTACTTTCGTTTTTGTTAAGTTTTGTATTTAATTTCTCATATATTGTGTACTTGAGTCTTCTTTTTTCTAACTGAATGTTTGTATGATATTGACGTTTTTCTTACCTATATGTTTGTACAACTTTTATACTTTATTTATAAAAATATATCTGAGAAATTCTTGTCTATTCTTAATTCATATAATTGTTAAAAAAAGGAGAACAGTTTGGTTGACTTAACCAAGAAAAATAAAACATGGGTGCACGATGCCAGTAGGTACTGATTTTTTTTAATAACTCCAGTCAGCAGTAGAAGTTATCATTTTTTTTACTTACACATGAACTTTTTAGATGAGAATATAAGAATTGCCACTTTTATTTGTTTACCCTTTCAAACAATATTCTCTTTCTCAGTATATTGTTCATTTTCACGGGCATGCATAGCATAGCGATGCTTTTGTCTGATAAAGATAAACCTTTTCAAATGGATGCTACTCGTCAATTTAATCTAGAGACTCTATTGTTTGATGGAGCTATCTTGTCCCAACGTCTGACTCGATACTACCTGTTCAACTTGGATCTGTTATTAAGTGATGTAGGACAGCCTTTCCTGGGCTTTGCTACTTTCGCTTTGGGTTCAAATTGGATTCCGCCCATAACCAACAAAGTGAGGTTCATTTCGTGTTTTGACTTTTGTTTTCCATTGCAAGAATCTTTCTAAAATACTCTTCGTCTGGGCAGCACAGAGGGCATTAACACACAATAGAACTTCTGCTTTTTCCCACTTTTATTCCAATAATTCTTTAGTAATCCCTACCAAATTAATATGTTTATATGAAATTGACAACTTAAATGGATATTCTTTATTCTATTTTCAGATTTTGTGCAATAGTAGATTGCCGATTTTGCTGATTTGTGCTTCTTTCTCGCTCTAGCAGTTGGTGCTGTCTTCTTACCTCCGATGACTACACCCAATACTTCTCTCTTGTATTTTGACTTTCACACGCTGACATTCCATTCCATATATGTCTCTCTTGCCTAAATGTTGAAAAGCTATCGGATAGTTCATAATATTCGTTACAGAAAATCCACATTGAAATCATTTATTGTTGATGTGCCTCTGCCAGCTCCTTTATCTGATGGTAAGCATTGGAAAACTGACATTACCTACAATCCCTATCCAATATTTTACATTATCATTCACCCTTTCCGCTCAATTGATTTGAAAAGCGGTCTTTAATGGGTCCTTGATTTTTTTTTTGTCGCTTTTATTAGGTGGGATTTGAACAAATCGGATTCATTACCTAAAAACCCGGTATGAAAAATTGGGACCAAACAATCCCACATAGATTTCAAATCACGGACACTTCTGTCAAACCCAGGTATCTTCTGAGTTTATAATTATATAATGCCACTTTAATTTATACTTACCGCATTCCTGCCCAAGTTATCTGGTAAAATATGTTTTGCTGCTGCTTTCGTTGGTCTCAGTTCGGTTAGCTTGGTTCTATGCTACCCTCTTTTGATCATCACTATTACAACTGCATTTCTTATTGCAATATCACCAGTTTTGTCTCGTGACGGAGTCAAAAAGCAAGACATAGGTATGCTCGTTCCGGCGTCGGCGGCGGCGTCAACAATGTATTAGTTTGTGATTAGGTCTAGTTCATGGTGAATCACTAGTGGTAGATCAATGATATTTGGTATGCAGTTGTATTAGCATTGGCACATCTCATGTCCATGGAGATTATTTGGCCCTGCCCCTCAGTCATGGTCTACTGACTTTGAATCTTTTGATCAGTTTACACGTATTAGTTTGTGATTAGGTCAGTTTATAGGGAACCATTAGTGGTAGATCAATGATATTTGGTATGCAGTTGTATAAGCATTGGCATATCCCATTTCCATGGAGATTATTTGGTCCCGCACCTTCAGTCATGGTCTATTGACTTTGAAACTTTTGCTTAGTTTACATGTATTAGTTTGTGTTTGGGCCGGTTTAAGGGGAACCATTAGTGGTAGGCCAATAGTAATTGGTATGCAGTTGTATAAGTATTAGCACATCTCAATTCCATGAGGAATATAGGGTCCTTACCCCTCGGTCATGGTCTATTGAATTTGAAACGTTTGCTTAGTTTACATGTATTAGTTTGTTATTAGATCAGTTAAAGATGAACCACCAATGTTAAGTCATGATATTTGGTATGCGAATGTATTTGCAGATTATATAGGCCCACCCCCTCATCATGGTTCATCGACTTTGAAACTTTTACATAGTTTACAAGATAATGTTTGTGTTTAGGTTTGTTTAAAGGGAACGACTTCTGATAAGTCAATGGTATTTGATATGCAGTTGTACTAGCATTGGCACATCTCATTTCCATGGAGATTGTTTAACCATGTACATTCAGTCATGGTTCATCGACTTTGCATATTTGCATAACTTACATGTTAAAGTATTGCTATTTAAATTTCAACATTTGCATTATCAAAATAACAAAAAGGCGAGACATATCTCTGTGTTTACAGTTTATTTCCAATAGTTTGGATATGCTTTAATTCTCTTTCCCCCTTTTAGAGTAAAAAAGTCCACGTAATAAATAGTTTGCTAGGTTTGTGAGTGTGAACAAACACAGGTCTCATCTTCAATGGATATTTCCCTCTATATGTCTCGCTTGTGTGCAAAACTTTAAGTTTACAAAGCAAGTATGTGTTACATAATAGTTGCCAATTTCGTAGGTGGGATCAATTGAAAGGACAGAAAATTTGACTGGATTAGTACAAATGTTTTTAAATCATTTAATTGTTTGTCACTAACATGAATATATTCAACAAATCCCTAGTCCTTTCGAACAAAAGAATATTTGTATAACTGGCCAAACAAGTGAAACTTCTGCTTTTGTGATGATTGCACATTATGTATTTGTTTTTGATAACTTAGCTCAGAAGACGCTGGTAATGTACGAAGGGGAACGTCTGAATTTTCAAATAAAGTTTTAAAAATGCTTTAATACTTTGTTTGTGCATCAGTCTTCATGTCATGTCGTACAAAGGTTTCAGTCTTGACGAAGGGATTTTGTTGTTTGATTGCATTACCGTGTGGCTTAGGTACACTGTACACTATCATCTTCCATGCTATCACTGCATGTGAATGTATTGTGCAACCGCATATCGGGAACGTTAGTTGTTTTCGGTGTTACGGAAGAAATTATTCTTTGAAAAGAAAGACCTTTGCGATAAAACTGGCTTGAAGTGTTCCATATTGTATCCGTATGAATTGTGTTGAGTTTATTATGTAACCGATTTTTCTACGTTTTAAAGAATACAGCTTTTGGAACCCCATTATCATCCGCATAAAGGTACTTCATGTCTACAGCATCAAAAGCCTACAACAAAAACAGCGTTTAGTATATCTTAACTTGAATGTTTTTTTCTTTCATATAAAATTTATCTATTACTTCCACAAAACACGACTGAACAATTTCTTTTGATTCTTTGAATCTTTGAGTAAATTAGCATGTTACCGTTATGCATTTCTGTACCAAAGATATTTCATACTGTACTTCTGCGTCTGACGATGACAACAGTGTAATCGGCAAACCATCCTCATCATGAATCAGAGCATCAATACTGGACTGATCTTTAGGCTTGAGAGGAAGGCCGTCTTTGAAGATGCTTATATTCGGTATCTGAATTTTCAAATAAGATGCACGTTTTTATTGACCGAAAAGGACTAGGGAGAATATCTTTGTTTGTATCGAATTCTTCAGTCTTATTACAAGTATATTTTGGTCCTAAAAATATTCAGAGGTCGTCAATACTGAACCTACTCTCTGCAAGTTGCAACTGAGTGTCCGGATCCAAATCTTCATCCTTGTGCAAGTATACATTATCATGGATGGAGATTCATTGGATGACTTGTACTATGCATATAGTACGGTGACAAGTAAGGTAAATTAAAAAAATTAATGGACCGAAATACCTCACGGCTAATTTTGGTCTTATTTTGAAGATGCATATAATACCCTTTGATTAAGGCATGTTGAAGAGTGCCAAAGTGGTGCAGATTTTTGAAAACTGTGGTCAAAAGGGAATCGCAATTCTTGGACATTTTGGACAATTTCTCGGTAGTCCCTCATGATAACTGAGAAAAAAATTTATATGGAATCATGCTCTGGGAGTGTTGCACAAATTCAGCTTGTCATATTTATGTCAGATTGACAGAGATTAGTGATGAATACCCCCGCATCCAACATGGAAGAAAATGATAAAAATTATCTTTATCTACAGAAATTATTGACAAAAAATATTTATATTTAATATTTAGTTGAACAAGAATATATGACAACATATAAAAATATTTTTGGGAAAGTTTTGTTAACATGCCATAAAGAACAAAGGAGAAATAAGTACAGTATAGTTAACACCCGGTCCGTGATTCAATGAAAAAATGATGTAATTCATTATTATTTTTTTTAAACCCAAAAGAATGTTGGAACTTGAAAAATAGTTTTGATGCATAAATGTCAGCATGAACACGATAGTATCTGCATTTTATTTTATGATAATAGGTCAATCAGTATGAGAGCAATAGCATAATGAAAATGTGTGTCCCCCTTTTCATATAACAACACAAACAATGGAACAAAGAGCATATTCTTGACCTAAAACGATTTTAAATCACGATATATATCAAACAAACACGATTCACAGAGATTATGATAAAAATGAAGATATTTGTTTATATTTCTGTAACTCCTGACATCAATATGCACGTCCATTGGAAGTGGTAAAAGAAAACTAAGACAAAAATGTATCGATTCGATGTCATGTTATACTTTCAAAATATTCGACAAAGTCTTCAATTAGTTTACAAGCCCACCAACCACGTCAAGGTCCGAGACCACTGGCAATTTTTTTTTTTTTAATTCTAGATTTTAAAATTCATTTTTTTATTTTTTTTATTTTTTGTTACGAGAGAGAGAAAACCTCCCTCTACACGTCAAGTAAAAAACCATTTGCAATGAAATATTGGACATTGAGATTAACACTTAATCATCATCCTCATCGTTGCAATCATCTAAAACAGTCTGATAAGTAAGCTGGTTTCTACAATCGTCACTGCCCTGACAACCACAAATGCTTGTGCATGACAAGTTTTGTTCATAGCATGCACACG